GAGATGGTGTTTTCAGCTTACTGGTGTTATCATGGTCCCATGGCATCATCATTCTGGGGTTCCATCCTCCTTTTAGAGACTTCATAGGTCACTGTTAGGCATAACCATGGTTTACTGCAGGAAGTTGATACCAAAATCATGTACAGGTAGGTAGATGAAGTCTTTTTCTACAGTTAGTACCCTATATGACCATTAATATCATGACAAAAATTTAAATATATATACATATGTGTGTGTGTATATATATATCTTATAAATTTTGAGTTAATATATCTTAACAAAATCCTTACCAAATCAGCCTTTTTCAAACTCAAAGAAGTTGCCCATTAAAATCCTGAATAGGGATCAGTGTTATGGTGTTCCTATTTTAATTTCCAAATTCTACAAAATGGAACACATTCATCTACAAGATTTCATCCCTTTGAGTACCTTTTGAGTTACTTCCTTCAGGTAGTGGTATCTAGTTATAGAAAGAACAAGTAGGGCATTTCCTTATAAATGCTTTGTCTTGTTGCCATGTGATGGAAAAGTCTTTTTTCAAACCTTTGCTATTGTCATGATGTTTTTAAGGAAATTCTGAGGCCACTATCACATTTTCAATCAATAACTCATAAATTTCTTCATTAACTTATGCTAGAGACTGGCAGATCCTTGTGGGATCATATATATATATATATATATATATATATATATAGGATAATTTTATATATATAATGTATATATATATAGAATGATTCCTATTCTTGTTTATTTCCTGTAAGTAAATAAAGTCAATTCTGTATCATCTTGTATAAATTCAGCAGTTTTGATATTCTATTAGCTCATTATATTAAATCCATTAATATAATGAGAATAGCATATAATTCTCACTTTTGGAAAGAATCATAAGGGCTTAGATCCACTTTACTTAAATGTTCTGATTTGTAGCCTTCTTTCCTTGATTTATTTGTATCAATTTAGAATGGAGAGGCTCCAGATATTGGTGTTTCACATACAATGTGAGAAAGCATCCAGCTAGTTCTCTTTATAAGTTGAAATCTCTTGCTTTTGGTTTATTTGTTGTTGATCTCTCCAAAAAAAATTACTGCAAGCTCTTTTCCACTTTCTATCCATAATTTGTCAATTTCTTCATTATAACAAAGGTACTACGTTTTCTACTGAGTCTATTCCTGTTCATTAATGAAGTCTCAATTTTCATCTTAGAATCAATTCAGAGACCATTTTCCACATAAGTTTATCATTTTTTACTCTGTTAATATGATAAAAATGATCCATTATGAGATAATATCTTCCCTCAGCATTAAAATTCCTACAGGGGAATGCTTGGAGGGCAATATGACCAGAATGCAGTTCAGTTTTGGATCCACACAATCCACATGTGCATTCTGTAATTTCTTTTGCACCAAAGTCAATTCTCTCTCTGCTTCAGCTGACAATTTCCTGGAATTTTTTAAGTTCTTGTCATCTTCTAAGGTTTTGAACAAATTAATCATTCATCAGGTATTACCCCAATAGTGGGCTGAAGATAGAAAATGTCTCCTAACAATTTTTGAAAGTCATAAAAGCCTGCAATCGATCTCTCCTAATTTGCACCTTTTGAGGTCTAAAGCTTTGCAAACCCATTTTATAGCCTACATAATTAATAGAATCTCCTCTTTTATTTTTTTCAGGAGCAATTTGTAATCCCCAACAGGGAAATTTTTCTTTACTTCTTCAATCATTCTTTCTAAAGGATCTACATTTGAATCAGCTAATAAGATGTCATCCATGTAATGGTAAACTATAGGTTGATGAAATTGCTTACCTATCATTTCCAATGGCTGACATACAAAATATTACCACAGGGTGGGTTTGTTTAATATCCCATGTGGGAGAATCTTTCATTAATAGCTCTTAAAGTGTTGGAAATTATTATAAGTAGGCACTGTGGAAGCAAAATTTTTTCTGTCTTTTTCTTGCACAGGTATAGTGAAGGAACAATCTTTTGAATCAATAACTATAAGAGGCCATCCTTTAGGTAATAGAGAGGGCAAAGGAATTCCAGACTATAGAGATCCCCTTGGCTGAACCACATTAGTAACAGCTCTTAGATATGTTACCATTCTCTGTCTTCCAGATTTCTTTTTAATAACAAAATTAAGAGAATTCCAAGGGATGGTTGATTCTTCAATTGCTGAACATTTAGTTGCTCCTATACCAGCTGTTCTAAGGCCTGCACATTCTCTGTTGTTAAAGGCCATTCTACAACTCATATAGATTTGCCTGTCAACCATTTTAAAGGTAGGGCTGTTGTTAACTTTGAAAGATCAGCAACTGTTTACCCTACACTTGCACAACCTGAATGGTCAGTGACTGTTCTTTATAATACCTTCTAATATTTTTTACCAGAAACATATGGTAATTTATGGTTGTTTCTAAGACTGGGGAAATATTAATCTGAGTATTCCATTGCTATAGCAAATCACATCCCCACAAATTCATTATTGTGTTAGCCACATATGGCTTTAATTTTCTTCTCTGTCCTTCTGGCCCTATACATTCTATCTATCTCAAGCTCTGTTTTACTTGAGATAAAGGTCTAATCCCTAAAAAATGAAACATTTTCCTCCTGAGGAATCAATCTGGATGTCAAAATTCTAATGAAATTGTTACATCCTTACTTGTGTCTACTAGACCTTCAGTGACAACATCATTTATTTGTATTTTTAATTTTGGTCTTTGTTCATTTATAGAAGCTTGCCAGAATACTCACTTCATGGTTTTTCCTTAATTTTTTTGTTCTCTCTTCTACAACTGTTCTAACATTCAGAGCAGTATGGTTTCTTACAATAGGCATTAAGTTCTTTAATTTCTCTGGGAAGAAGCTTCCTCTACAATGACAGGAAACAACTGAATCAAGTATGGCACAAGGGCCTGCAAGAGGCCCTGCAAGGAGTTTCTTGATGGCAAATGGTTACCTTGATTGTCTCTTGCTGATCTACATTCACTAGTCCCATGTCTGCCTTTACCACACTTCTGTATAGTCCAAGAGGGAGAGACATTCTGTTTGGATTATGCTTAGAAAAACATTGTTTCTAGGAATGCTCTGTTTACAATCCCTTTTAAGGTGGCCTTGTTTGCCACAATTGAAACATTTGACATTTGACTTTTGTCATTGCTATAACCAAATATCAGACAGGACGTAACTTAAGGGAGGGCGATTTATTTGGTCTTATAACTTAAGAAAGTATAGTCAAGCACAGCAGAAGAGGAGGTAATGGAAATGTGAAGCTGTTTGCTCACATCACAGTGCATCAAGAAACAGAGAGCGTTGGTGCTGGCGCTCAGCTGGAGTTTTCTTTTTCCCTTTTCATTTAATCCAGATCTGAGCCCAGGGGATGATGCTGCTCACATTTAAGAAAGATCTTTTTCCTCAGTTAATCCTCTTTGCCAGTGCCCTCATTGGCACACTCCAAGATGTGTCTCATTAGTTTCTTAGTCATTTATTAGTCCTATAAAGTTGAAAATAAAACCTAATCACTACATTGAATCTGTCTATAGATAAAGCCTTCTAATTATTATTTAATTAACCAGTTCATCACTGTATTATGGTTACATGATACAGCAAAATATTATAAAATACTGTTAGCATCACTTGTGACAAAGGATCAAAGGAAAACATATACAGATTTGTAAAGAAACTTGGTAAAACACACACACACACACACACACACACACACACATTCAAATGTTCTAGCTAAATAATCACCTGCAAAGCTAAAGTTTATGAAATGGGTAAGCCAACAAAAAAAAAATCTTTTTTAGTTGCTTCTTCATCAAGGATTTAATCAACTTGACCCAACTTTTTCTGAAGGCAGTTCAGTGTCACATGATACAAGCAAAGGGGGTCCCTCAATCTACTTCACCTCTAATATGTGATTCAATTTGGAACTTTAAGTCAAAGATGGCTCAGTTTGACTCTGGTTCCACTTAGCAACTGTGTGGCCTGAGCTTGAGCAATGACTTATGGACTCTAAGCTCCAGTTGGGTGAAATAAGTAGAAAAAAACCCTACTGCATTAGGTTGTGGCAAGAAATAAACACAATAACAGACTAAACATCTAACATGTGCCTTCCACAAAGAGATGGTCATGAGCTATAGTCAGCCATTGAAGAACAAGGAGACATTCTAGTAAGTTTATCAATGGCCAGTTTCTTTGTAAGTATCATGAACTCATTTATATAGGTTCCTGCTGGCAGAATCCAGCATACTGCTTTACAGCAAACTTTCTCTTTTTCCTTCTTGATCTTTATTTTTTGTTTGTTTTTTTGGGAAAATTACATTATTCATATAGCATAGACTGGCCTTGGCTTTACTGTATAGCACGGGCTGTACTCATACTTACAGCAATCTTTCTACCTCAACCTCCCAAGTGCTGGGATGACAAAAATGTCCCACTATACCCAGATACCCAACTGCTGCTGCTGCTGCTGCTTTTCTTCTTCTTCTTCTTCTTCTTCTTCTTCTTCTTCTTCTTCTTCTT